GAGGTATCACGCTATCTTTCTTTTCTTTTGAATTAGGTTTACACTAAAAGTTAAGCTATTTGGGTGATGACAGAAAGTGTACTTGTAAGTCAAAGTCAGTAGAAGTTGGAGAAAATCCAACACATCCCAAGCGAACAGCGAGCAGGGATCTTCAGCGAGCTAAAGGGTCCATTCGACATGCTTTTGTTTTCATGGCTGTTACCGGCTGGTCTGTCAACCTCTCAGTCTATAGAACTAAATCTTACGATCTTTGCTGTCTTTTTCCGTATATATGGATAAATTGTAGCTACTTTGCTCGGCCAATGGCGCCCGCACTTTGCACATTCTATGTGGTCACAAACGATTTTTACCGTCTCCGTCGCAGAGCTGAATCCTCCATGTCCGTTACGGAATATACCAACTTTAAAAGCGAATGTGTAATAGTAGACGTAACGAAAGCGGCTTTGTTTTTCACTCCATTTGATACCTGATCGAAGGACGTCTCTAACTTCATAGAAGAGACGTTGAGGTGTTATAAATCTCTTAAAAAACGTCGACTGTCCCCAATGCTTCCTTTTAGGATAGTGTTTCTTGATAATATGTTTTTGGTTCTTTTTAGGTACTTTGACTTTCTGTAAGGTTGAAATGCAAGAAAAACATTTAAAACGCAATGGCCTCATTCTCATTGAAATTGTAGCTTTATGCTGTGCTATCATTCTCAGAGGCCTTTTGCTGAGCGAGCCAGCATTAGTCCCGCCCAGCGGATACCCTCCCTACCGATGTTCAGGAACCGTCATTGAACTGGTTCCGGTTTTCGATTTTCTCTTCAACGTCGTGCGTTGGCTCATTGTAGACCGAAACACACGGGCCACGGGGAAGACGTTCTTAGTTTTAAGCTCGGTTTAAAATTGTTCCCTAAACGCATCTCGATGCCAATATTCACCTTCCAATCGAGGAAGGGCAATGAATTTTAGATAATACATGCCTCTATCAGTTTCTGTCGCTATTTTTGTTCGATGAATCGAAATAATCCAACAAAAACAAGGTTATAATAATACCCTAAAGTAACTTCCAGAACAAATGAATCTAAATTAGTCAGATTCGATCTTCTCAAAAAGTAGATATACTGAAGCTTGCGTACTGGTAATTAACCTCCTTTCACTTCAGAGATTTTCTGCTAAATAGCTGTCTTGGCAACACAATCGAAGAGAGTTTCATCTTACTGAATTTGTCATCCAAGTGATTTTTCTACCTCAAAATATTTATTATTTCCTTTAACTGGACCTTCCTTGATTAAGACTGTTCTTAAAAACGTTTGTACCGCTCTCGTGTTCAAACCGGTGTTTAAGTTTAAAACAAAAGAACAACAACAACAACACTTGGAACAATTCAAAGCTATCGTTACGACAACAGAAACAAGAAGGAGTCATGAAAAATTATTTGGTCTCATTTTGCAACACAAAATTCTAACTCATGTTTCGCGGAATTTGCACGCTTTTTAACCAAAACGTAAAATTATTAAAACGAGCCTTGCATTGAGTGAGCATTGAGATCTCTGTTGGTGAATGTTAGGGCAAAACAAACGTGTCGGTGTTGAGAACAATCATGTTGTAAGATTCTTCAAAAATTCCGACGGTGAAAATTAAAAATAAATAATTAATAAACCAAAACATAATCCTTGTTTCCTTCTCCAAACACTTGCTTTAGATGAAAGAATCTTTCGAAACGACTTTGGTCGCTGCATGAGACAGATTCGATTATTTTAACAACTATAACGACAAATGTAAAATTGGTTAGACTTAGTATGTAACGTAGAGGGTTGTTGCCTTTCAACCTCTCTAAAATGAAAATTTTGACAAAAATAAACTGCTCTCGGGCTATATCTTGACTTCCTGACTTCCTTCCTGGTTAGTAATGCGTAGACATACCTTTTTATTCCTCTTCCGAGTCCATGAATGCCACTGTAGTGATTGATGGATTTACGCTTCAAAATGAGGCTGTACAGAGAAATTTGTAAAACGCTTTTAACATAGTAATACTGAGAGAATAATTTAAAGTTGTAAAAGTTGTAATATATGAGCTGGACTCACTTTCAGGCAAAATTAAGCTGTAACTTTTCAAATAATGTGACTCTCTTCTTTAGTTTGTAAAACGTTAAAAAAACGCCCTTCAGGAAATTTAGAGAATTCTGCATAAATCTAAGTCCAACCGAAGGAATAGCAATACATGTAAGACTTTCTTCTATTTATTTTCTGTCAATACTCGCTCTTTCAAGTGACAAGATCTTCTGCATATCAGAGCTTCCCTAGTGCGCTTAACCATAACACTGTACCACAGACACCTTGATCTTCTTTAGCTAAACTCCCCACTACTCCAAGAATAAGGTTCACCCAACGACTCATGAACATTTCGTGGAGTAAACATCAAGTCCACATTATAATAAAGCCACGTGATTGATGTTTGCACTGTATCTGATACCAAGGTCATTTTAAAAAAATGTACCTCATTGGTCAGAACTTTGCTATAATTAACATTACAGCTAATACCAAAAGCTGTTGCAGTGAGGTATTAGTGCCCCTAGCAAGAAAAGCGGTAGAATAGCATGTTTGGTGGCAACTATTGCACCAATTCTTTTTTTTCTGTTTATCTGCAACATTTTTGTAATTGTTTCAGAAATGCTTAGGTCTAGAGTTGAAGAAGTGGGGCATGCTTCTTTTTACCCGCTACTACTGGTTGGCATATTTGCAAATAGCTGAAGAAGCACAAAATATTGTGGTTTCGTATTACCCTTCAGTCCAACAACATATAGCATTCTAACGAGCAAATAGTCAATAGGGCATTATCGACTAAGCGAAATTGCCTATCGTCCTAGAAAACGAAACACGTAATAACATGTACAACGAGAGGAAGGGGTCAGATTTTGCCCAATGAAATGGTCTTGGTCTCCCTCTAAGGCATTGTATTTTGAGCATCATATTAAGCAATTGTGACCCAAATTTGGAACTTAAAATAGTTATATACCTTCCATCCTAGATGAAAAAACTGTTGACGATCCTAACTGCTATCGCTAAAACTGTAATAACGTACTCGCTATTCTCGGTAAGACTACCGAGAAAAGATTCCCCAAAGAAAATCACAAGCCCTTGTTTTACCTCAGGGTATACTAAAAGGATCAATCTTTTTGTCTCCTGTCACTTAATTACATGAAATGGTGACTTTGATCAATAATATGAATTCCAAGTGTCCCGTTTCCTACGGTGCGTCAGTTACCAGATTAGCTCTTATTGAAATCTATAAGAGTCTATGCAAATGCCACTTGCAGTTTTAGTTAATTATTCCTTTACAAGTGGTAATTTCTCTGATGAATGAATAACATTAGCAAGGATAACGCTTATATATCTTTGAGAAAGGCTCAAGCTTTGCCAAAGACAATTACAAGCCAATTCTGTCCTTTCTAACGCAAGCAAAATATTTGGAAAAGCTATATATTATCGACTCTATAGCTATCTGGAAGAATTTAAGATACTTTTTCCATTTGAGTTTGATTTTAGGGAATAATGCTCGACAACCTTTGTTCTTAGCTCTATCACTGAATCAATTGGCCAATCTATTGATAATGGTGCATTTGGTTGCGGTATATTTAGCGATTTGGAAAAAGCCTTTGATACTGCAAATCGGGCAATTCTACATGTATTTGATAAAATTAATCAAGGTGAAATATGGCAATGTGCATAAATGGTTTAAATTTGTAAGTGTTAATGGTCATAAAGCAATATACCCATGCACCCAGTGGCTTGTTGCTTACGTACCTCAAGGATCCAAGAAATCTAGGGTCTCTTTTGTTCTTTTTATACGTAATTGATTTTCCCAACATATCCAGCTACATAGTATTTCATTTAGTTAATTCATGATACTAACTACAGTATCTTATTTTTCAAGTTATAACTTCAGTCAGCCGGAAAAAAATCCTTATCAGGAACTTCAATAAATCGCCGAATGGACGAGATGTAACCGCTTAGCACTTAAGAAAACAAACTTAATCAATCATTTGATATTAAATAAAAGACGACTAATGTATCACATAATTTGACTCTGCCAAGCCTTTTCGTGTAACATTTACGCCAACTTAATACTTGTCTGGGCAAACAGACCTAAATATGCATGACTTCGTTTCTTTTGTAAACCATGGCCGCACTGGGCTAAGCCATTCCCTTAACTTAAAAACCCCTATTTGCAAAACTTTCGCATTTCAGGCTTCTTATTTTAATAGGATTGCCAACCTATGGAATTTTACTTATAGATCTGTGCCTAAAAGTAGCCTTTCCCTTATGAAACTTTTTAAAACAAACTCTGACAAGCCTTTTACGAACAACATTTGAAGTGGAACGCCCGTGCACTTGGTCACTTGATCGTGCGCATGCCATTGTTCATAGCGCACGCTAAATTTTTCCTTTTGATAGTCATGTAATATAATTGTGCAATTTTTAGCTTTTTAAACTAAATTTTATACTTGGGCGTCACCTTGCATGGGTCCTTTGGTCTCGTTCGTGCTTGCCCCTTTGGTTATTATACCTCTTCTTTCGTTTATTTATTTATTTATTTTT